AGAATTGCTTAAACCCGGGAGGGAGATGTTGCAGTGAGTCGAGATTGCACCATTGCACTCCAGCCTAGGTGACAGAGGGAGACCCCGGCTTAAAAAGAAAAAAAGAAATGTAAGCACTTTAAGAAATCCACCCAATTCCTCCAGGCCTCAATGGACTGACCTAGGGTCACTCTGGAAAAATCTCACTCTCTCAGCGCCTGAGTCAGCCCTCTCCCCTACAGCTCACCACTCCCGCTGAAACCTGGACCCTTTCAGTCTTAGAAGCCAAGTCGGAACTTGGAACCAACCCTAGGCATTGAAATGCCACCGTCATCAGTAGGTAATCCATGAGCCAGCTCAAGCCATCTGTCCTTTGGCCGGGGAGGGGTGGAGTCTCTTCCAGGGTGGGCATGTGGTGAGCAGAGAACCTTCAGGGGCATGCGGACCTCACATAGTATCCTCTTCCTGTGCTATCTCTGGTCTCAAAGCTCCCTCGCCCCCAGACAAGTAGATGGGCACACACTCAACACACACAAGCATTCATATGTGCATATGTACACACATGCACCCATACGCCAACACACATAGACACATACATACAGACACATGCACCCTCACATAAGAGTCCCTCAGCTACCCCAAGCTGTCAGAGCTGCTCCTTTGCCTTTGCTACCAAAACTGTGGTGCCAGGAGCCCAGAAGAACCTGGGATCCAAGCAGTAGAAAACCCTGTTGTTAGTCCGGTGCTGCGGCTGACACCTGTAATCCCAATGACTCAGGAAGCCAAGGTGGGAGGATCGCTTGAGGCCAGGAGTTAGAGACCAGACTGGGCAACATAGTGAGGGCCCTTCTCTAAAACAAGCAAACAAACAAAAAAAAAACCAGGTGTGGTGGTGTGCACCTGTAAGTCCCAGCTACTCAGAAGGCTGAGGCGAGAGGATCACTTGAACCCAGGAGTTCAAAGTTACGGTGACCTGTGAGCGTGCCACTGCACTCTAGCCTGGGTGACGGAAGACCCCAATTCAAAAAGAAAAGAAACAAAAACCCTCTTGTTGATAAATGCCTCCTTAGGAAAATAGGCGCTGAAGAGAGAGAGAGATGGAGAAAAGAAGCTAAAGCCAGGTGGGCTGAATGCCTGTGTGTGAACGTATGTATACGTGCGTAAGCACGTGTACACATGTATAACGCCCAGGTACTGGGGTGGTGGGGGTGGGGGTGGAGCAAGGCAAGGAAAAGAGGGGCCAGCGAAAGACAAAGGACGGAAGTTGGACACGGTGGCTCATGCTTTTAATCCCAGCACTTTGGGACATTGAGGCCAGGACTTCAAGACCAGCCAGTCTCTAAAAAAAAAAAGAAAAAAAAAGAAAAAAACAGAGAGAGATGGAGACACACCCCCACCCCCTCTGGTCCCTCTCTTAATCTTCCCTTCCCTCCCTCTCCTGGCAATTCCATTTAGGCCTGGGTGTGGCAGAACCGGGCTCAGAGCAGCCTGAAGATAGATGACCCTTCTGGGGAGTGGAGCTCTCTCCCCAGTCTTGCTTTAAAAAGTAAGGGGGTAGAGGTCGAGCATAGCACTTTGAGAGGCTGAGGTGGGAGGATCGCTTGAGGCCAGGAGTTCAAGATCAACCTGAGCAAGACCCTGTATCCATAAAAAAAATTTTTTTTAATTTGCCAGGTGTGCTGGCACCTGCCTGTAATCCCTGCTATCTGGGAGGCTGGGGAGGATCGCTTGAGCTCTGGAGTTCGAGACCAGCCTGGGCAACGTAACAAGACCTCCGTTTCCACCAAAAAATTTAATAAAAACAAAAAGCAAGGGAGTAGGGACCTCATCAGTCGTCCTGCAGAGTCTTGGTCTCCGCCTCTGCCCTGCTCTCCTCTCTGCCGCCCGTTCCTTAGCGACAGTCTCTAAGTCCCTGCTAGGCGCCCCCTGCCCCATCTCCTCCTGGTCGCCTAACGGAGGGTATCTTCCCCTTTAAATCTGCGGTCCCCGGTCCGGTCATTGTCTCGCCTGGCAGCCAATCGGCGGCGCCGTTGGGGGCGGGGGATCCGGCCTCCCAATTGGTCGCCGCGCGCCCCGCCCCGCCAGGGATCCCGGGAGCTGTCCGGCCGCCTCGGTGCTGATCCCGCCGCCGCCCACGGGCCGCTAGCAGCGCAGAGGGCACTATGAGCGGGGGAGTCTACGGCGGAGGTGAGCGAGCCTCCGGCCCCCTGCGTTCCGAACCCGCGCCATCCATCCGAGCTCTGGGCACCCCGGGGCCTGTCACCTCCGCGCATGAACGGGTCCAGTCCCAGGCTCGGGTCTCCCGCCTCCCCTGCGCTCCGTCCTCGTGCGCACCGGGCCGAACCTCTCTACCTTACAACCCACCTCCACCTGGCCCCGGCCCCTTCCTTTCCCGTCGGGAGGGTGGCCTGAGCAAGGCCAGTGGGCAAGAAGGGACCCTGGCGGTATGATGCCCCCACCCCCAGTCCCAGGACCTCAGACTCCAGGCCCAGTTCCCACCGGCTCCAGACTGGTGTTGAAGGTGGCGAGTCTGTGGCTCTGCCCTTTCTCTCGGAACTACCTAGCGGGAAAAACTTCGGGGGAGGTCCCCTTACAGGCCTGTCTCCCCTCACAGATGAGGTGGGGGCGCTGGTCTTTGACATTGGCTCCTTCTCAGTCCGCGCTGGGTACGCTGGGGAGGACTGTCCCAAGGTGAGCCTTCCAGTCTCCTCTCTAAATCCTAGGGGCTCCGGACCCTTCTTCAGGCTTTCCAGTGACCCAGGGCTCTCCCAGATCGCCCAGAAGCTCTGCTGAGCGGGAATGTGGGAATAAACCCAGGGGCGGGCTGAGGACCCTGCCGTGGGGCTGGACAGGGGCAAGAGGGTGACCCCTCTCCTGCCGATCCTCCCCCAACCCTTCCCTACCAGGCTGACTTCCCCACCACGGTGGGGCTGCTGGCCGCGGAGGAGGGGGGCGGGCTGGAGCTGGAGGGGGACAAAGAGAAGAAAGGGAAGATCTTCCACATCGACACCAATGCCCTGCACGTGCCTCGGGATGGAGCGGAGGTCATGTCGCCCCTCAAGAATGGCATGAGTAAGGGGCCCCCACCCATCACCTCCTGACAGATAGGGAGCCCACTCCCCACGATCTGGGACATAGCAGCCCCCACTCCCCAAGGAGTCTTCCTTGCAGCCCCAGGGTTCTTCTCGCTGCCAGGGTTCTTCTCGCTGGGTTCCTTTCCCAGGGGCCCACCAGGTTTCTGGGAAGGGGGGACGTTCCCCTGGACCTGGACTCACTGACCCTCCTTTGGGCTTGGCCTTTCTCCCTCCTTTTCTTCCTGTCCCTGACCCCTGCCTGCCCTCTTGCCTTTCTCCACTCTGCTCTTCTGGCCCCAGTCGAGGACTGGGAGTGCTTCCGAGCCATCCTGGATCATACCTACAGCAAACACGTCAAGTCTGAGCCAAACTTGCACCCCGTGCTCATGTCCGAGGCCCCGGTGAGTGCCTCCTGCCTTCCCATGTCCAACCCCGATCTCCACTGCACCTGCTTCCCACCATCCACCTCTCCTCCTCTCCCCTCAAGCCACCGATGTCAGCCACTTCCCTTCCCTTTTCAGACTCCCCTCACCCATCCCAACCACTTTCCTTCCTTCCTAAGTCTCCATCCCTCCTGCTCTCTTCTTGTTCTATCTACTCTGCTGCCCTTCTCCATCTCCAAGTCCTTTTTTAATTTTTTTTTTTTTTTTTTTGACACAGAGTCTCACTCTGTCACCCAGGCTGGAGTGCAATGGTGAGATCTCAGCCTCTGCCTCCCGAGTTCAAGGGATTCTCCTGCCTCAGCCTCCTGAGTAGCTAGGATTACAGGCACTTGCCATCATGCCTGGCTAACTTTTTGTATTTTTAGTAGAAATGGGGTTTCGCCATGTTGGCCAGGCTGGTCTCGAACTCCTGACCTCAGGTGATCCACCCGCCTTGGTCTCCCAAAGTGTTGGGATTACAGGCATGAGCCACCATGCCCAGCCTCCAAGTACTTTTTAGACCTTTTAACTTATTATTATTTTGGTCAACATTGGTGAGCTGGGGATGTGGGCTCACACCTGTAATCCCAGCACTTTGGGAAGCCAAGGCGAGAGGATCACTTGAGCCCAGGAGTTCGAGACCACCCTGGGCAATATGGCAAGACCCATCTCTTTTATCAAAACAATAACAATTAAAAAAATTTTTAAACTGCATTTTTAAAAATGTTCTTACCCATATCCTTATAGATTCCTCTTTATAGAAGCAACTGTTTTTCTCCTTTGTAGCTAATTTTGGGGGTATTTTCTTCCATATCTCTAATATTACACTTAAATTGCTGCCTGTGGAGTTTTTAGTTTTAGATATTATCAATGAATTTTCCACTCTAGAAAATGATCACTTAGCTCTTTTTTCCTCCCCAGCCTATGCCACAACATATTTCTATTACCCTCCTTTAAGTACAGTGGGTTTTGTTGTTGTTGTTTTTGTTGTTGTTGTTGTTTGGGGGTTTGTTTGTTATTTGTTTTTGAGATTTTGTCTCAAAAACAGGGGCTCCGCTCAGTTTATCACCCAAGTTGGATTGCAGTGGCACAATTCTGCAGCCTTGGTCTCCTGGGCTCAAGTGATCCTCTCATTTCAGCCTCCGGAGTAGCTGGAACTACAGGCATGAGCCACCACACCCAGCTGACTTTTAAATTTTTTGTAGAGACAGGGTTTCACCATGTTTTCCAGGCTGGTCTTGAATTCCTGGGCTCAAGCGATCCGCCCGCGTCATCCACCCAAAATGCTGGGATTACAGGTGGGATCCACTGCACCCAGCCCAGTTGTATTTTAGACTTTGAAAGAAATCAATATTCAGTATTTACACTCTTTTTAAGTTAGAAATAATTTTAAGAGAATCTTTTGTAGAGATGGGATCTCATTATATTGCCCAGGCTGGCTTCAAACTCCTGTGCTTAAGCGATCCTTCTACCTCAGCTTACAAAGTGCTGGGATTACAGGCATGAGTCACTGTGCCCAGCCCAAGATTTACATTTTTATTACTATGTATGCTAATCAGGACTGAGACAGGCAATATACACTATGATCACTTTTCCTTTCTTGTGCAACTTTTTGTTTTCCTAGAACTGGAAAAAAAAAATGTGTTCAATTTTTTTTCTTTTTTTTGAGAGGGAGTCTTGCTCTGTCACCAGGCTGGAGTGCAGTGGTGCAATCTCGGCTTACTGCAAGCTCCACCTCAGGTTCAAGCGATTCTCCTGCCTCAGCCTCCCAAGTAGCTGGGACTACAGGTGTGCGCCAGCACACCCAGATAATTTTTGTATTTTTAGTAGAGACAGGGTTTCACCATGTTGGCCAGGATGGTCTCGATCTCTTGGCCTCGTGATTCACCCACCTTGGCCTCCCACAGTGCTGGGATTACAGACAGGCCACCACCACCAGCCCTGTGTTTGATTATATTTGGTCTGGTTTTCTATCTGCTTAACAGTGTGAACCCTAAATTATTCATCAATTATATCTTTTGTCAAGACATCAGTTTCATCAGACATTTTATCAATTTCATCTTCTTGAAGAAATTTCTTCAGGAGCCCACTGACCTGGTCCAGTTTGCACTAGTAGCCCTCTGCCCGGGGACAGACCTGTTGCGCTGGTATTTCCCTTCACCATCATCTCATAGAATCCTTTTGCCTCTGTTCTGGTCAGAAGTTCTGTTTCCTGTACTTGACTCCTTTTCTTGACTCACTCTTTTGTTTTCATGGAGCAGGTCCTTCAGTAACTGCCTTAGAAAAGTCATGAGAGGCCAGACACAGTGGCTCACTCCTGTAATCCCAGCACTTTGGGAGGCCAAGGTGGGAGGATCACTTGAGCCCAGGAGTTTGAGACCAGCCTGTGCAATATACTGAGATCTTATTTCTACCCCTTCTTGATCCTCCTCCTGCCACTTTTCTCCACCAGTGGAACACACGGCCAAGCCCGGGAAGAACTGACAGAGC